TCGCCACTATTATCGAAATTGGAATTAAAAAAGTCTGTACTATCGACCTTGATTGAGTTGAGTAATCGGTTTAGCATCCCCTTAAGCATGAATATTGATAAGACCGTTTTTTGGTGCGATTCTACCATCGTGTTGCACTGGCTAAACACGCCTCCGCATTTATTGAAAACATTCGTAGCGAATCGAGTAGTAAACATTCAAGAATTCACTAGGAATCACAAATGGCGACACGTCAGAACGGCAAGTAACCCCACCGACGCGATATCTAGAGGGCAAACTCCTCAAGAATTTATGAGAAATCGGACATGGTTCACCGGGCCTTCGTGGCTCGTTGACGAAGAACATGAATGGCCCGATGAAATCACACAAGTAATCGAAATACCGGAATTAAAAAAGAACGCTTGTTTCATAACCACGCAAAACGATTTCGATATTATTTATAAATACTCGTCTTATCAGAAATTACTAAGAATCATCGCGTATTGTCTTCGGTTTCACCCAGATAATAAACATCGCGGATCTTTGTGCGCAGAAGAGATTAACAAGGCGGAAATGCGGGTGTTAAAAATAATTCAGACCATTCGATTTCCGGATGAGATCAGACGGTTGAGCACGGGATCGCGAAAGAAAGGCAAATTCGTTGAATTGAACCCGTTCCTGGATGATTTCGGTTTGATTCGCGTCGGGGGACGTATCCGAATGTCGGCTCTCTCATTTACTCAAAAACATCCAATTTTGCTTCCGAACAGACATCGGCTAACCGATATAATTTCATTCGAGAAATTCATGAGAGTCAACATCACGCCGGTATACAAACAACCCTATACATTCTTCGGCAAAAATTTTGGTTACCCGACGGTCGGAATCAAGTACGAAAAATCATACGTTCATGCGTGAACTGCTTTCGATTCGACGCGGGCGCGGTTAAACATAAAATGGGAGATCTCCCAGCGGTCCGCATACGGCCGGCCACTCCGTTTACTAACACCGGCACTGATTATTGCGGTCCCTTTTTTATCAAAGAGAAAAAATTCCGCAATCGAACGCGGATCAAGGTATACGTGTGCGTGTTCGTCTGTATGGTAATTAGGGCCGTGCATCTCGAAATCGTGAGCGACTTAACTTCAGAAGGATTCCTCGCGGCGCTGCGTTGATTCATCGCTAGGAGAGGATTACCGGAACACATTTATTCCGACAACGGGACTAATTTTGTAGGCGCGAATAACCAACTCAAAGAACTATACGTCCTCGTCAATTCAGAAGAACATAAAGATTTAGTTAATAAATTCGCGAGCGAACGTCGGATCACCTGGCATTTCATTCCGCCGGCAGCTCCTCATTTCGGCGGGCTTTGGGAGTCTACCGTAAAGGTATTCAAACACTATTTTAAGCGCGTAGTCGGCGATTCATTATTCACCTTTGAAGAACTGAACACATTCAAGATAGAAGTCGAGGGTATTCTTAATTCTAGACCTATTACGTCTATATCGTCAGATCCGAACGACTTATTAGTACTGTCTCCGGCGCATTATCTCATCGGCAAACCATTATCAACCCTGCCGGAATATGAACTAAGAACGACTTCAGTAAACAGGCTCTCCATCTGGCAACACATCTCTAAGGTGCGTCAAGACTTCTGGACACGTTGGAGTCTCGAATATTTGAACGAACTTCAAATGCGCCATAAATGGAACAAGGACGGGTCAAACCTCAACGTTGGAGAGGCAGTTCTCATTAAAGACAAGACCATGCCGTGCACTCAATGGGCATTAGGTCGAGTTACGATGCTTCATCCAGGCGACGACGAAATCGTACGCGTGGCTACCATACGAACGGCGACCGGCGAAATTAAAAGATCGGTCAAATCGTTATGTCCGCTTCCAACCGGATAACAGATAAGCGATATCTATATACATTCATACATTTAAGCTACCGCAATATTGTACACGAAAATATGTTATGTAAAATCTAAGGCCTATATTTATATTTATATTTGATCAGTATACCCTCTCAACGGGGGAGAATGTTCTATCGTAGAATACGTCGTGCACGACATAAACACACACACACACATGCACGCACACACACCATAAAGGTCGAACGAACTAAAGCGGTCGCACGTGCGCATACATAGAGTATGATCTCAGGAGCCGATAATGGTAACGACGGAAGGGATTATAAGAAGGCGGCGGCGATCAAAGACTCCTGCGTTTTTCGGTTAATTGTGACCTTCAGTTTCGGCATCAACTTGTCGCCCCTTTCCCATCACCACGACCAATCAGCGCGGACCGAAAATTTTTCCGTAGTCTCGCAATCGGAAGGAAGTTCCATGCTACAAGGATCCAAGGTACAGCTCACGTCGACGAGTCGTTACCAACGGTTTCCAGTACGTGCGATTATACCGCGATATCAGGCAAGTGCCTTAAGCGTACCGAGTTTCGTTCGGCAAAGGTGGCATAAAACAGTGCAAATATTTCATTCACGTGATAAAGACACAGGCAGGGCGAGTTACGATATCGCTCCCACGCGAAAGGCGGCTCAGGACGCAAATTCGTCCCAGGCG